CCATGTCACAACAGAGGAAAACAAAGGACACATTATCTATTGGGCACACACTGCACAAGACCCAGAGGGGCTGGCCTGGTACTAGTCAAATGGGAGATCAAGTTCAAATCCTGTTCCTTTTGCCCCTGTTTGAACAGGGATTGGATGTGCTGCCAAGGTAGCATGCTGCGCTAGGGGAGAAGGAAGTGTTTCATAACACTCAACAGCAACCATTCTACCCTTGAAGAAGTGATGTTAATGGACTCCAGTGGGAGCTCCATCAGATCCCCTTGATTAGGGTAATGGCTGCAACAAGATGTCATAACAGATGGGGAATCATCATGGCTCTGACAAAGAGGTAGATGAAGCAGGGCAGAAGAGGAGAATTCCCAGAAGGATCACTGCAGGGCTGCTTGCTATACCATTGTGCTGTACAAGGGCTCTGTGGAGCAGCTTTCTGAAGATGTAGATTGAAGTTTACTTGCCAACTAAGGTATTTACTACAATTACCTTCTAAAAATTCAGCAGCACTTTAGAGATGCTGCATTTCTTTCTCAGCAGCCCATAGACACTGATTTTCCCCTTGCAAAACTATCCAGTTCATTTGGGTAGCCCATAACCTGCAGAAAGCCAACTGGCCTGAGCTGGGAGGGCTACCACCCTCAAAATAACTGGAACTTTCATAAGTTCTTCCTAATCCTTGGTAGATGCTCCACCTCAACTCCTTGGGTTGAGTGTTTCTAATGAGGGAAGGAGGGGAATATCAAAAAGGGGACCTTCATCACCCAATCCCCTATTGCTGCGAGGAATGATCTCTAACAGGACACAGCAACAGACTGATGGCATATGCTGGGAGCAGAACTCTGATGTAGGGAAGACAGTTGCTAACTTATCATATTGATCGTATGAGTAAATGGATGGATCTTCTACACCATGCTCTACCGAAGCTGTACTTTGAGTTTTATTCAGTTAACAACAGCAGTAAATGGTGCAGGTGGCTTTGTACCATGTCATACTTTGTTTTAGGTAGGACAATAACCTAGATAATCTGAAAGCCAGCTTGGCACATTGCTCAGTCAGATGTGGGTATCACAGCCTATGGTCATTTACTTCAGACTCCCTACCTGCTGCAGGACTGGAACAGCCTTTTTGAATTGAATCATATGGCAGCTTGGATCCATCAGAGGGAAACCTGAACAACAAGATCAGAGGAAAGTCACCTCGTAAATGGGTGGCAGGTTCTAGGACCCTTCACAGATATGCAGGGCTCTATTTTGCTGATGTACTGTTGGTGCTAAAAGGCTTCATTCACACAGAAGCAGAGTTATTTGGCTGATTCAACCTGATGTCAGAACAGGTGGGTCCTATAAGTTCCAACTCAAGATAAGGGTTAGAGTCTTTTTCTGGTCTGATTTATACTATGACATTTTTCTATGTCTGTACATTCACTAATTGGCATAATGATGACCACAATCTAGCAGTCAATGTAGACCAAGTCTATAAGGCAAAGAGAACTAAGGGCAGGGCCATAGAACTCCCTAGGAATAACCAAGCTTGGGAGAAAGGTTCATGTGTGATTAAGTTAGCAATACAAGCAAACCCCAGCAAGGAGGGAAATTTGGATCATTTCTAGGGCATTGGCTGTGATGTTAGAAGTATGGTATTAACTGTATGTGCTTATTGACCTGATGATTAGGAACTGGCAGTTTTTATGTGATACCAGTCAGCTCTCTGTTCTTGGGGAACCAGGGCACAGTATCTAGCCCAGGGGTTGGCAACCTTTCAGAAGCGATGTGCCGAGTCTTCATTTATTCACCTTAATTTAAGGTTTCACGTGCCGGTAATACATTATAATGTTTTTTAGACGGTCTCTCTCTATAAGTCTATATATTATATAACTAAACTACTG